AATGATGCATGCACGGTTAGGTCTTGAGAAGAAGACTAGGAATGATCCTTACATATTGCATAGTCTTACCATATGGTTGGAGACTTACATGCATTGGAATGATAAACTAACAAATGCATCATTAGATGAAACTTTCAAAATTATTCATCCGTTTTATGATTTTATTGATTGCAGTCTGATAGTGGACATGAGTGAAGTCTTTTTACAAGATTTGATACTTAGTGATGATGGGTGTAGCATTGTTAGTCAATTAAAAAATTACAAGGAAAAAGCCGACAAACTTCGTTTTTCAGTTCAAGTAAAGCATCTTAATGAATCATTAAAAACAATATATAAAGAACATATACCAGATACCTCTCATATGCCAATGATATCAATAAAGCTTCATAATCCATGGCATGGTAGCAACATCAGTGGACTCTCTCTACTGATCCACAACTTACTTCCAGTTGGACACCAACAGTCAATAATGAAATATATTACAATATCTTCTGGATCTGTTATCATCAAATATTCTGTATATGGTTCTACAGCTGATAGTCTAATAGAATATACTGGAGGAAAGTTACAGTTTATGCGTCTCATTGGTATATTTAGTTTATACATTAATGATCATCCTGTCCTTCAAGAAGATGAGAATATGAACTTCACCTTTGAACTAGCCCTCCTTGAGGCAGTCACAGCTGGTAATAATGAAGCAGTAGAGTTTCTTCTTGAACTAGAAACTGTTAATGTTGATCATACTAATGAAGAAGGTGAGACAGCACTAATGTTAGCTTGTGAAAGAGGACATGAGGACATTGTACACAGTTTACTGTCTGCTGGAGCTAATGTTAACATTCAGGACAATAAAGGATGGACTGCACTAATGATAGCAAGTGAACATAATCGCATTTCAATCATTCACATGTTACTACAAGCTAATGCTAATCCTCACCTGAAGACATCTGATGGATCAAATGCATTAATGCTGGCAACAACCAATACATTAAAAAATTTAGTTGTTACCTATACAAAACCTGATCTCATTAAGTTAAATAAGTGGCTTGAACCACTTGTTAACTGGCAATCATTTGGTCTTCTCTTACCTGGAATAACACAACAAGATATTACAACAATTGAAGATTTTGCAATGAATACTGAACAAAGTAAAGGAGCCCTCTTTTCTAAATGGCTTCAAAAGAATCCTACAGCAACATGGAGAGATGTACTTGGCGCATTGACTAAAAGAGAAGAGATCAATTTATTACAAACTATTAATGATCAATTACAAGTACATCAATGTACAGGAGGTATGACTATAATATAGCGGGAAATTTTGTAGGGAATTAAATTTAGCAAATTTGACATTTTGATAGCCTTTCGCCCAAATAAAACCCAACATTTTGAGCAATTATACTGTAGATACACAGCTCAATGGCACATGGCCACAATTTTGCCAAATTAAAATTTGCCAATCACCAAAGTTTAGCAATTCACCAAATTAAAACTGTTTCAACTGGTTCACCAGTTGACAATGCATCCAGTTGACAATGCATCCAATTCAGTTACTAATGTAGAAAGTAATAAAATTATTTATTATGCATTTGATACTGTATTATTTTTTGGTAGATGTATCTGTGCATATGATTATTTTGAGTGTCAATAATAAATATAATTTTTTTCACACATCAGAACTTGATCCTGGTCCTTTAACTGGAAAAAGTGACTTATTTGCAAAGTATCTTGAACCACTTGTTGATTGGGAAATGTTTGCTCTTTGCCTTCCTAGTGGGATAACACAACTTGATGTTGATATAATTGAAACAAAAGGAAGCTCTTACCTCAGGATGGAGGCATTACATAAAAGATGGTTACAAGTTAATCCTACAGCATCATGGAGAGATGTCATTAATGCTTTGAAACAATGTAAAGAGAATGAACTAGCTAGAACTATTGAAGACAAAGTGACAGATCCCACAGCTGGAAAACCTGGTCCTATAACAGGTAAACATACACTTAATACAACACTCATTAACTGATACACTACTACAGGTAATCCAAAGGATATATTAAGGGCTCATTCTGTTAAGCTCACTGATGGAATCTCACAAAATCTTTACAAAATAACAACTGAATTACATGCTAAAGGATTGATACCACAACAAACTTTTGATGATGTACTTGTAATGGGAATTATGACTGATTATACTAAAGCAATGAAGCTGATGAGTGTATTGGAACAACAGTTAGAATCCTCTGACAATCCAAAGCAGTATCTTACCAGCATATGTCATGTATTAATAATAAATCATACACTCACAGATTTTGCTACCTCTATATCACACCAGTTAGGTGAGTGTGTGTGTACATTATCAGTGATCAATATAGTCATTATATCTCAATACATTAGGTCAGTCTATACCTGATAATGTCACATCCATTAGTTCAATACCTGATGATGTTAAAGTATATGCTGACAATTTGAGAGAACACTACAAACACCAACCTATTGTTGCTACAGACTGGCCACCAAGAATTGGAAAAGATTTTTTTGGGAGACTAGCATTAGTAGAAAAACAAGACTCCAGCACACAAGCAAAATCAGCTTGGCATCTGCTAAGAGGGCAAGTTGATAAAACAGTTAAACTAACTGGACACAAGGAGATAAGTGTTGAAGATGTCCTCCAACCCACAGATAGTTCTCTGTCTCTCAGAGTAGTAATAGATGGTCCTCCTGGTATTGGCAAGACAACACTCTGTCGTAAACTGTTAAATATGTGGTCTAATAGAACACTTCCGCACCAACAGTATGACTTGGTACTTTACTGTCCTTTAAGGAATAGCAAGATAGCTACAGCTACTACACTAGCTGACCTGTTGGAGTTTAGATGTTATGAAGTTCCCATGGTAGCTGAATGGTTTGAGAAGAGGAATGGAGAAGGATTGCTGATAATCTTTGATGATTGGGATGAACTAAGTGAACAACTCAGACAGTCTTCATTAGCTGCTAGTATCATTTATAGAAATCAGTTAGACCAATGTTCAGTAATTGTTACCTCTCGTAGCTATGCCTCCTCTTCACTTTTGAAAATGGATACTCTCAGTAGACATGTTCAGGTCATTGGGTTTTCTGAGGAAGAAATATCAATAGTAATTATACAAACACTTCAAAAAGATACAAAACTAGCGCAAAAAATTATTCAATACTTGCATAGTAAAATCATTCCCAATAGTGAAAGTGATGATGAAAGTGATAAAATAAGTCATGATGAAGTAGTTAAAAGTGATGATGAACTAGTTGAAAGTGATGATGAACCAGTTGAAAGTGATGATGAAGTTGAATTACCCACAGATAAGGACTCACAACTAGCAGTGAAACTCATTAATGATCTTAAAGTACGAAATGATGTCCAATCATTGTGTTATGTACCACTAGTCTGTTCCATGGTCATCTTAGTTTATTGTAAGGAAGGAGGACACTTACCAACAACACTCACTCAACTGTATGAAAACTTTATCTTACAAACTATCAGAAGACATGTCAAAAGACATGACATTAACCCCCATACTTTAGGTAGTCTTTCTTCATTACCATCACACTTAGCTAAACTTTTACAAGAGATATGTCAAATAGCTTATACTAACCTGGCTAATACAAGAATGACATTCTATTCACATCAAGTAAAGTCACTGAGTGAGGCAGTCAAGGAAGACTATCTTGGATTGATGACAACATTCATAGAATATGATAAGGAGAAGTATCAGTTCCTTCACTTGAGTATACAAGAATTTCTAGCTGCATGGTGGATAGCTAAGCATGAGAAGAAGACAGAGGAAGTGTTTAAGGATCACTTCGATGATGATCACTTTCGAATGTGTCTGAGGTTTGTGGCAGGTCTAACTCACCTTGAACATGAGAGCTATCAACAGTATTTTAATAAACGACAATTTGAGTTACAGTGTAAAAGGGAACCATTGTCTGGATTAGAGACTTGTCATTTTTCCTACTTCCATCAGAATCCTAAAATTACTGAACAGGGTCATATCAGTTCCAATGATTTTGACAATGTTCCCATTCTTCTTCTTCAACTCCTGTATGAATCACAGAACACAACATTATGTCAAATACTATCACAATCCATCAACAACCACTCACTGTGTCTGGATAGAGAATCATTATCATTGTTTGACTGGTTGTGTCTCAGTTATTGTATAAACAATTCCAACACAACATGGAATCACTTGGACCTTGGGGGTGTATCTAACCAGTCACTATCAGTCTTCATTGCTGGACTAACCAATAACTCACTACAGACCCAGTGTAAGAGACTGGAGGTAGGGTTGGATGAACCCATTGATGAAATAATACACAAATTAATACAATCATCACTTTTATACAATATGCAGGAGTGCTACTGTGTCATACCATTTGGTCAATATGTTCTCTGTCTTGTATTGTTGCAGTTCCTCAATCTTCCTCAATTGAAGATACTGCACTTAACAACGGATGATCCTACTATACCAACAGTTGACAATACATACTACACTGGCAAATGCACTGAACTTGAGAAATGTATAGAAATGAATTCAACACTACAAGAAATAAATATTGGGTATCATGGAGAAAAAGAAATAACAAGTATCATTACCAGTGTCATTAGAGGAGTAACAAGAAATAGAACAATAACATCATTAACAATACAAGCTCATTATGCTCTTCCTCTAGATATACCCGAAGGAGTAATAGAGCAGTTACTAAAGGATAACAAAACATTACAAGCTCTTTTGCTGGACATACGTGAACTATTACAATCATCACTAAATATAGTAGAGGTGAACACACCACTGACTGCTCTAGAATTAGGAGGATGGAGTAGTAGCGAAGTGATTTCATCATCACTCCTTCCACATATCAAAAGATTACACTGTCTGAAACTACATGATCCATACCCACCACATCTTCTATTTCTCTGTCAACCCAATCTACATACACTTACTTTACAAATAGGCACAGCTGAGGATGCTATTGAACTATTTACTATTCTACAAACCAATACTACACTTAAAGCTCTGAGTATGAAGATAGAGGAAGAGATGGTATGTGTATATACCACTGGTGATGGTCTCAGAAATAATAATTGGAGTAACCCTTCATCTCCTTTTGTTGATCTTCTCAGCAGTATAGATACTAGTCTAAGGGATATGCTAATACAAAACAAAACATTAAAATACCTTGAGATTAATTTAGATGAGATAGATCTGTATAAATACATACCCATTTCCAGTTCATTCCTGTCCTTCCTAACAACTGGCCTCAGACACAACACCAGTCTACAGCAGTTGGGTATATTTATTCCACTGAATGAAGAAACAATAACTTTTATTAATGTCATCTCTCAAAAGAACAATCTCACAGAACTTCAAATTTACTTCAAACCAGATCAGTCATACAGTAACTGTAGTTGGGAAGAAAGGGGACAAATAATGACACCATTGTTTTATGAACAGTTAGTACCTGCTGTTACTAACATGTTACAGTCACATACAACCATCAGACTACTGAAGATATGGTGTAGACTTATAAATAAGTCATCTCAACCTAACTGGATAAAACTAGTACAACATTTATATGAAGCTATCTACATCCATCCATCACTTGAATATACCTGCCTAGTGATTGACCCTCCTCCTCTCCTGGTGGATACTCTTAAAGATCAAAAGAAGACATTGATTGATAGACACAGAAAAGAACAACCACACAAACCACTACCAATAGTAGAAATAAAATATATTAATTAAGCATGTACATTATTTATTTCTGCATACATCTATTGCTTTATATATGTAGTGCCTTATATGTAATACTTATTATATCTTATGCTTTTATTGGTTGAGCTTTGGCAATTGTTCCATTATTATTTTCAACAAAAATTAATGCATAAACTATAAAAGATCCATCTGTGATTTCAAGTTGATTTCAAATTATTAGTGCTGCTATAATTCAAAGGCATACTGTGCTCCATTGCATAATACTACCCACTTTAAGCAGTACTCTTGATGTAAGTATACTAGGTTATACAAAAAAGTGGATGCATTTGATACTTATCATATACTGAGAACCATGAGGCCTCAGTATATGAAACATAAAAAATTTTAAAAAACAAGA